ACAGCCTACCCCTTGTCTAGTACCTCAACCACCTCCTCCACTAAGAAACCATAAAAACAACCTCTCTAAGACCCCCTGCCTTTAGAATTCTCTCTGCCAGAAGTAAATGTTGCTTTATTCTAGCGCAAGGCAGACGTGGGCAGTGCTGTGGGTGCTGTGGGTGCAGTGGGTACCTCACAGGCCAAGCCGGCTTCGGTGGCCCTGTGCCCAGTGGGCACTGAAGGGAAACACAGGAATATGCGCAAGGTAAGCAGTTTTGGACTCAAACATTCTTTGCATTCCCATACTATATTTGTTTCAAGATGAAGTTTTACGCATAGAATGGGGGCACATTTGTTTGCTTTGGTAGTTACATGTGGAGCCTAATGACTGCAATTTGAAGGGAAACATAAATATTATGGGATGAGATTGTTGAAATACTTCTTCTTCCTCCAATTGCTCTCCTGGATTTCCTACTGTTTCCAAGTGAAGCCAAGTGTCAGTGCAATCCAGTGCTCACCACCCTTGCCCAGGACAGCTTTGGTAATGATGAGTGCATCTATACTACCAAGTAAAATATTTAGAAGAAAACTTGAATGTCAGGTCCCGAGGGATGCCATTAGCACAAGTCATGATCACCAAAAGCGTGCAAAGCAGGGCTTATAAATATTTATCTGGGGCTTTATTATAGCAAATGCTAACTTTTCTTGGGATGTAGGTCAACAGAAGAAAACCTGTTATATTTTTTGGAAAATATTTCGTTTCAAAGCTAACCTAAGGTTTGTGTCACAATCAGCGAAACCATCACAGGGCCTTGCCATTAAAACTCACGTGAACAAATCATTTAAAATTCAAATGCAACCTTATTATAGTATTATTTTTATGGTGGACTCTGGGAAAATATTTGAGGTCAGAACAGAAACGTCTGGCTTGTTTTTGAGTGAAGAATGTGTTTTCTTTGGAATCTTGTACAGGATGAGGATAACTGGGTAACTCCCACGGCTTGGTGCTCCAAGTGTGTCCCATGCTGTAGTGAAAAACCGTTGTCTGGGACTTCTGGGAGGTGAGGAGGGGGACTCAGGGCCGCCAGGAGATTGCAGGGGCAATAAGGAGTAAAAGAGGAAGGGGACAAACTCTCTTGTTACCTCTGAAGACCTGTGCAACCAAGTGAGTTATTCAGAAAGGAAGAACTGGCACGTCTGCTTGCTCTTTGCACCCTCAACACTCACTAAAAAACTTCCTGGACTGCCTTCCCAAAAGGAAGTGCATGGAGGGGAGCACTGTGGGACTGAAGACACAGAAGCTTCTTAGTCAGGGCAGGAGCTGGGTTTCCTTGCTGGGCTACAAGTGAGAGATGGGAACAGGAGCCCCGCAGCTTTCTGGAAGGGCCAGGGCTCCCTCTGTGCAAGCGCATGGCAAGAATTATTTCAGGATGTGCTTTAGGGGCTCAACACCACGCTAATGGGAGACACTGAAGGTGCCAGCAAGCCTGTGTGTGGCAGAGCAGGGGCCCACCCCAAGGGACATGGCCAGCACATACGGCCCCGTTCAGTGCCTTGAAAAACTGGTGAGGCCCAGCAGATGGAGTCGTTGCCAAGGATCCTGCCTGCTTCTGACACTCCAGATACCAGGAGGTCCTCTGTTGAGCCCGGCCCACCACAGATATGACTGAGATAGACGCTTCTGTAGTCATGTGAAAATTCAGAACTTTTTTGTAATGTGAAGGAATGTAACATTTATCAGAAAGCGACAGAGTGACATTCATACTTGGTGTGGCAAGTATTTGTGTATTTATAGGGAGTCCGATGTAAAGAACACTTTCCCCTGCACCACCACTACACCTGTGCACATGAACACACACACACACACACACACACACCCCTCATCAATCCTTCAGAAGAGACCAGCTAGGGCTAACTGACCTCCCCACCCTTCCCTACACTGCCTGCTTCACTTGTCTTTTACTTGTTGACTTCATTTGCTTCTCACTCAATTAATTCTGCAGAAAATCTTGAGGGTCCAATATTTGCCTGTAACTCAAAGGTGTAATTCCAATCCCAAGCTGTTCACAATCTGGAGTGTGATGTGGAGTGGCAGGTGGAAAAGTGTGAGTGGGTGGGGTGGGGGCCCTAGGAAGGCAGCGGGCTCTAGTAGCTTGGAAGGGCAGTTAAACCAACCACGAAGGAGAGGAGGGGCCCGTTCCTGTTTTTATAAGAAATGATGACTTAGCAGATCTTAAGTTGCAGAGAGTTCATGGGGACAGGAAGAGCACTTCAGGGAAGTGGAGCTGTAAGAATAAAATGCTTGCAGACATAAAGAATAAGGTCTATTTCATGAATATAATCTATAAACAACATACACTTCCTACCCATTTCTATGTCGCTTCTAAATATTATTCTCTACATACTTCCCAAGACAGTCATCTAGCTAACTTCTCAAAAATTCTGGCCAATGTGGATATATGTAGAACAAGTAGCAAACCACGGAAAATGATTTCAGCAGCGAAGTGAAGCCTACACTGTTGGAGGTGTTTTGCTAACAAATCACATGTAAATTGCAAACTCCTCCTGATAACTGAGGAATAATCCATACATGTTGGTCAAATGCCTGGATGTTTTCATTTCTGCAATGTAATGGCTTTCTGAGAATAAGTGCATGCTAACAGATGTTACTGCAACAAATACATTTCCTTATGGGATATGATTTAACATATAATTTAGTGCTCATCAGTTGGAAATAAAATTATGGAATAACCCCATGCATAATTTGATTAACTGCAGCTGAGAGGACACAGAAAGGTTAGTTCAGCATACGCTTTTTCACATAAAGACAAATGTTGTTTTTAGATTCATGCAGAATGTCTTCTGCAAGGTAAGATCTTACCTTTACTCAGTGAAAATATTCCTTCCCCTTGGACTTCACCCTCCATCTTAAATCACTTCTCCCCGCGGCAAATGCCTAAGAACAAAACTCAGTGTATTTTTAGCAGCCTACCCACCTGTCAAGAATAAGAAGTCTATCATTTTCATGAGTGTTTATTGCACACAGGCTGTGTGTGTGTCAAGAGTTCAGTGGACCAAGTAGATGGGTAGAAGAGAGGCTAAAGTTAAGGAACTGTTGTATCACCTTGTCTCTTCTTAAAAACAAATGTTGAACAAAATTTTCTTTCCATGGAATAAGTTAAGATTTTCAGAGGTGGGTGTTGTGGTGCACTGGCTTAAGCCACTGCTTGGGATGCCTGCATCCCGTACTGGAGTGCCATTTCAAGTTCTGGTTCTTCCACTTATCCAGCTGCTTGCCAATGTATCTGGGAAGGCAGCAGACAATGGCCCAAGAACTTGGGCCCCTGCCATCCATGTGAGACTTGGATGGAGTTCCCAGCTCTTGGCTTCAGCCTGGTCCAATGCAGGATGTTGTAGGCATTTCGGGAGAGAACCAGCAAATGGTAGATTTCTTTATCTCTCCCTCCCATTCTATCATTTTGCCTTCAAACAAACAAATCTTTAAAAAAGCTTTGCAGTGACTATCTCTTTAGAGCAAGGTTTGAGAAATTTTATTTGCACTGTGGACCCATGTGGCAGCTGGATGTTCCCTGTGCCCTTCTCAAAGTGTTTTTAATGCATAAAATGAAATACAAAAGATGAGAATTGACAAAGGAAAATAGTTATATAGAAATACAGCTATTGATAGAGCTTTATAAACTACATACTAAAATAATATGTGTCTTTATGAATGCACGAAGTAAGATCCACCTGCAAGCCTACTAGCTTCCATATCTTGAATTTCAGATGAGCGTGATGGATATCTCCAAGATATCTGCAACAATTGTAATGCAATAAAAACTCTTCTTCCTCTTGGTGACAGACCCACAGAAACAGCTAATAACTGCTAAAGCTTACAATCTACACTAGCAATTCAGGGAAATCACTAAAGGAATTTTTTTGTAAGTCCAGCCACATGGACTGTCAGAATTCTATCCCTAGACTGAGACAATGAACTCTTGTTTTCCAGGGGCCCTAAACCAACAAATCAATCCATTTCTGCTGTTGACTTGGAGATGGCCCTAATGAGAACAGTCCCTCCACAAGGAGGCCAGGGGATTCCTCATTCCCCACTGGAAGGCATGAAAAGGAAGAGAAGGCTTACTACTGCTTTGTCCCTCTAAGATGCTTCACCACCAACTCGTTCTACAATCCCACCTTAATCCATTGATACATATATATAACATGTTATATATATTATATATTTTATATATTGTATTATATATGCTTATGTAATATATAATGCATATTATATATTATATAAACCAGTATATATTACATATTACATAATGATATATTATATAGTATTATAACCATTATAATATAGTATAATTATATGCACTATAATTATAATATATTTATGATAATAATATATAAATAATATATAATATATGTACTTATATAATTATATGCAACATATAATGTATGTATTATATATTATATATTCTGTTATATAATACATGTTATATATTATATATTATTAATATAGTATAATATAATATAATATAAATTTCAGAATTTTAAAGTCTAAACAAAATTCTAACACAGAGGTGGCCCAGAAAAATAAAACCACCATGAGCTTGTGGGAGGTTTCTTGCCCCTGGCTTCATTCCTTGTGTGATCCTGGTAAGTCCTTCGACTTTGATCCTCAGCTGAGTCGACATTAAACAGGCACAATTATACCAACCTAGCAGCTTTGTGACAACGTTTAAACAGAACAACATCTTTGGGAATGATTTGCAAGCTATGAAAAGCTGTCCGAACGCTGCTAAAGTCTGCTGTCTGTTTATAGAGGTCTGGGTCTCCTCTGTGTTTTTTCTCACAGGACTGGGGAGCCAGAGGACGGCATGTTACAAAAGAAGAACCTTGGACTAGAGACCGCTACAGAGCATGAGGAAAGTAGAAACATCCCTTGCACTCTGGATCTCACTTTCCCCCCCTACCATGCTGGCCCACCATCCCCCAAAGGAACACCACAAGTTTCAAGTTTGCTTTAATCACCCAAGTTTGCCCATTCATCTGCTCCCAAAGCGCGATGAAAGAATGTTAGAAATGACTTCACTGGGGTCAGTGTAGCGACACAGCAAGGTAAACCACCTCCTGCAATGGCAGCTGGTCCAGTCCTGGCTGCTCCACTTCGGATCCAGCTCCCTGCTAATGCACCTGGAGAAGCAGCAGAGGACAGCTCAAGAACATCTCCCTGCACCTACGAGGGAGATCCGGAAGAAGCTCCTGGCTCTTGCCTTTGGCCAGACCCCATGTTGGCCTTTGTGGCCATTCGGGGAGTGAACCTGCGGTGGAAGATTTCTGTCTCTCTCTCTCTCTTTCAAATAAATAATAAATAAATTTTTTTAAAAAAGAAAGAAATAACTTCATAATGCAGACTGGTTGGAATTATAGAAGCATCAGAGAGAGTCACAACCTTTCTGTTTGTGGGCGCAAGCATCAAGTCCCAGTGGACATCTCTTACTCTTGCGCCTGTATCCTACCAAACTCTTCTGACACTGAAACCATAGCCAATTTTATGTGAATAGTTTTTATGGTAAGGCTTACATGGTTTTTTTCAGATACATACTGCGTACTTTTGGATGAAACAGTGTGTGGTCTAGGTGAGACATGATAGGCCAGATACATGTATTTCTTGAAGCTATGGGATAGGTGCATAGAGTTGCCTTTTTTTTTTTTACCTTTGTATGCGTTTGAATTTTCCTCTATAAAAATATTTAAATAAGTAACATACACAAAAGGAAAAGCAAAGTTATCCCATATTCATATTAAATGAATGAAAATGAATTAAAGTGAATTGTTGTATCATAAAATGCATATTCTATCAGGTTGATCTGGAGAAATAGGTACCATGTACCCTAGTATACCTTAAAATATTTTTACCAATTTTGATGCCCTTATGTAATAGACAACACAGATTACTCAAGGCAGGAAAGCACATGAAACAGTTTTTTTCTCTGTTTCCACTTTTTTCAGCTAAATAGATATGACTGCTAATGGGGGTATCCTTCCGTTGTATCTGTTCAAACATTTGTTGGCCTTTTACAATTAAAAAAAAACTGTAATGACTGTGTTATTCTATTCTGAAAATGCAAATGGTGATCAATAACACGATCAGTTTAAGAGCCCTGTGTAGAATTACATGGTATTTATCTAAAGTACGATTAAAACTCATAATGAAGACACTGTCTTATTCATTGCATATTTTAGAGTCATCATATCTTACTAATACACGAAACACATACGGCAATCGTAGAACTATAAAGATATCTATCAACAGCAAGTTAAAAGCCAATCACATTTGAGATATTATATCTTTGCGTAAATAATTCACCATTTTATCTTCTAGTTAAGGCAAAGGCCCAGTTTGAAAAGGATTAGCTCATAAGAGCATGAAACTAGTGATGATACCAAAGCAACACCACAAATGCAGGAACAATTCACAGACAATCATGAAGATGAAATTTGAATGAGTTTTATAAATGCTCCTCTGGAGGTTTTTTCATTTCTTCTTTCCTCAGGATCACTAGAATTTTAAATTAAGGCAAATACATCACATTCAGAAATGATAGCTAGAATGAAAAGGACATTAAAGTTTCCTATGTTGTTATTTAGGTTATAAAAAAGAAATATTTATTCCTTGTGTCACTTTTATATCTCAGTGAATATCTATTTACAAATTTTACTCCATATTTCCAAGGAAACTGGTTTCACTATTATTGTATGCTATATAATAAAAGCAAAAATTACACATTATATTAGTTATTCTTCTCCATTTTATGTCCAAACACACAACTTTGAAAAATTTATTTATTTATTTGAAGCCGGCGTCGCGGCTCAATAGGCTAATCCTCCACCTAGCGGTGCCGGCACACCAGGTTCTAGGCCCGGTCGGGGCGCTGGATTCTTTCCCAGTTGCCCCTCTTCCAGGCCAGCTCTTTGCTGTGGCCCAGGAAGTCAGTGGAGGATGGCCCAAGTGCTTGGACCCTGCACCCCATGGGAGACCAGGATAAGTACCTGGCTCCTGCTATCGGATCAGCGCAGTGCGCTGGCCGTGGCAGCCATTGGAGGATGAACCAACGGCAAAAAGGAAGACCTTTCTCTCTGTCTCTCTCTCTCTCTCTCTCTCTCTCTCACTATCCACTCTGCCTGTCAAAAAAATTTTTTTTATTTATTTGAAAGGCAGAGAGAATGAGAGAAAGGCAGTCAGAGGCAGATGGACGGACAGTTCTCCCACCCACTGGTTCACCCCAATTGCTCACAACAGCCAGGTTTGGGCCAGGGCAAAGCCAGGAGCCAGGAGCCGATGTAGATGGCAGGAACCCAAGTACTTGAGCCCTCACTTGCTGCCTTCTAGGGTGTGAATTAGTAGGAAGCAGAATTGGGGAGCCAAGTCAGAATACAAACCCTGGCACCGTGATGTGAGATGTGAGTGTCTTAGGTGGATCTCAACCCCTAGGACAAACCCCATCTCCTAAACACAACCTGTGATAGTGACATGCTGCCACAAAGACCCACCCCCTCTTAATCAATCTTTTTTCTCTGAGGATTAAGAAGGGCCTTTCTGTACCATCAGGTAATTGATTCTTGACAGAATAAACAGAGTTATACAATCATTCTTTACCTCATTCAGGGTCTTACCAGGGCAGATTAGGTCAAAAATGCTTGTCCAAGTTTCAACGCCTTTGAGAAGATTTAATGTGTCAGAAACAAATAACCAGTTCAAGAACTTTGTCAAGCGTTGATTTCAATCTGTTTTGCTTTTGATTGCTTTGATCCAGCTTATCACACTAAAAACAGTCAAAAAAAAGTTTATCCATAATTTAAATATTTCAATTACATATACATAGCATACACAGCTACACTGATTTAATCCACAAAATGACATTTTGTTCAGTGCAAAAAAAAAAAAAAACTCAAAAGGAATGCAATGGGTGTCATCTTTGCTAATACCCTCTCCATTTATGTGGATCTGATCCTCAGACCCATTCAGAATACGTAACTAAAACACTGAGAAAAGGGTTAAATGACCAGAACTGTGTCATTTCCTCTGATGCTCAAAACCATGTTCTGCTATAGGCAGAGAAGACTGTGACCATCCCCAGTTTACAATCCGGAAAGCTGACACTCTCAGAGGTTAAACGGCCTTCCCTGCGCCACAGAAATAGTAGTACGACTAGAAGCAAAGCACTTTCCCCTCCCGACACGTCCTGCCATGCAGTTTCCAAGACAGTGATGAGTGAGGGTGGAGCTTCAACCGCGTGTTTACCTTCGGAAAGCATTTTTCTCTCCAGATCCTCCGCTGCCTGGCACCGGCCTCCCGTCCAGGCTCCGGAGCCATGTTAACAGGAGGGGTGCAGGCGGTGGCTTGGCCATCTGCCATGCAGAAAGACTGGGTCACTTCCTCCTTGGGAGGCAGTTCCAGGCTCCTTTTCCAGGCATTCTAAAGCAGAGAGGAAAACCAATCTGCCACGGGAGCAAGTAGAAAAATAAGCACCAAATTAGTATTTTGCATTCCAAAAGACGGTATCAGATCATTGGTTATCTTTAGAAAGAGAGAATAAAATTTCAGCTCTCTGTACCAAAGCTAGAGCCTCATCTGTTAGGGTAAGTAGAGAGTATTCGAAGTCTGTTGTTCCTATATGACGAGGTAATGCTTAAATAAATAATTGGTTCCCATCATACAACTCAATGTTTAGCCAAGTCCAAACTTACTGCTGCCAACATTTTAAGTCAACACTGATATCTAAAACAAACACAGGCTGACTAACACACACTGGAACATTAATGAAAATATATTGCGAAATATCTCCTTGCCGATGGATGTTCTTGGGCTCTTTTCTGGATAACAGTTGATTATTCAGGAAAATATTTAGCCTCTGCATATATATGTTTTGAATTAATTCTTTGGGAAAAGTTTTTTTTTTTTTTTTTTTTTGATTCCTTCCTGAGCACTTGGTGTCCAGCAGAACTGTGACGAGTCTGAGATTTTATTCTACTTGAAGCTGTTAGGCTGCCACAGTTTCATAGGAGCTGGCAAAAGTCTTGAGACTCTAGGGTCAGAGACAAAGGACTTTAGAACTTACAGCGGCGTCAGCAGTTGAAAGGGAGTCTGAGCTTAGGGAAGCCGGGCTTCTGACACTGGCCAGTAACCTTGGGTTATTGCTCTTGAGAACGGCTTTCTCACTCCCCTAAGGTTGTTTGCTTTACAAACATCGTTGACAAAGAGTCCAGAATCAGGGCTGTCAATGCCTTTACTCAGAAGACATATAAAAATGTGAGAAATCCAGGGAGCATTGTCCCCTGATATTACTCTCTACCAGACGCTGTGATAGACACTAAACATATGAAGATCAAAAAGAACATGCTGCCTAATTCTTGGTAAATATGAAAACTAACAAATTCAGCCATGACCATGGACCCTCAGATTCTGTCCATAGAAAATGTGGACAGCTCAACTTTTCTGCATCCTCATTTAACTTGATTCTTATCATTTAAAAAAAAATGGTGAAGGAGCTACAGGCAGAACTCCTGTCTTTAAGCTGCCAACTTATTTGCTTGTGAAGTGTTAAAGCACTAAGCACCAGCGTTAGAGTACAGTATTTTAGCACTTCTAAAGCATCCAGCCTATGGCATAAGGATCCCAATGACATGAAAGCAAAGGTCACTGGCAAGGGAAGTAGATAACAGTGTTTAAAAAAGAAGCCAGTGCTATCAGTAAAATATTAAGAGGGAAACCTCTCTTAATTGCATTGGTAGGACCTTGCTACAAAAGAAATTGAATTAAGCCACACCAAAATACAGATGAGAACATTTGGCTCCAGCAAAAGAATCAGTTACAAAAGCCTTTAGCGTATAATTTAGAGGTAAGCTTTTCTGTGGGAACTTGGAACATTACGACCAGAATGTAGTATGTAGCCATGTCTGCAATTTTATCACAGGTACCAGTTGTTTCCTCTTAGATAAGAAAGCACACTGTATTCCATCTTAGCCAAAAGACTAGGATGTGGTTATTCTATATAATATATATACATGCACATCACACATATATGTACATAAACACAATTGCCAGCTTACATATGGTTGTATATATGGAAATAATTTTGAGACTTAGTGCAATAGTATTAGACAACAAAGGCCGAAAGAGGACATCGTGTGTGTTTAGATTATTTAAATCTGCCCGATTACAGTGGTGCAACTGTCATCAAGTGAGTCAGTCATTCAGAACTACTCGACTCTCAACACTTGGGAAATTGTTCAGTTTCCCAGGTTCTCTGATATGTTTCCTATGAGTTTTGCCTCTAGTGTACTTTGATTGCTGAAAAGGGCTAGGGAGGGTGTTGGGAAAATGGCGAAGTTTTATCTATGGCGCAGTTTTATCTATGGCGCGATCTACACCCTGACACCATCCTAGGCTCTAGCCCCAGCCGCCATTGCTGGAAGCCAGGTGGCCACAAGGCCCAACCACCGGTGTCACGCTCCACCCCCATCCTAATGGGATTCGCTGCTCCTGCTTCCCTGCCCGCCCTCCAGCAAAGTTTTAAAAGGACCTGCTCCTGACCACGTGGCTCTCTCTCACTCTCTCTGCACTCCCTGCTCTCCTCTCCTCTCCCCCTCTCGTCTCTCTGCTCTCTGCTCTCTCTCTTCACTCCTCGCTAGCTCCTCTCCTCTCTGTCTCTCTCTCTTACACTCTCCTTCTCTCTCTTCCGCCCTTTTCGCCCCTTCCCTCTGGTCTGTTGGGTTTTCCCCAATAAACCCTTTCCCTTACTCCGGTGTTTGGTGTGTTTTGTGACAGCCTTACAGAGGGTGTATGAATAAATTCATGATATTTTTAGCTTATTATTTATTTATTTGCTATGGCAATCTTCTGTTGCTACAGGTGAGTGTGTGAGTTTATGACATACGATTTCCTGGAACTATCTCATCAGTGCCTACCTCACATCCATATTACACTTAGTTGAGAAACCCCTATCCTATCCTATCCTATCCTATCCTATCCTATCTTATCCTATCCTACCCTATCCTATCCTATCCTATCCTATAGTTTCTGACTATTTCTTTTTACATTGGTAAATTTCATGACTTTTATACTTTGGTCTTCCCAGGAGTCATCAGAACATTTGAGTTATCTAAATATGGAGATACTGGCACAGTGGTGTAGCCCAGCAGTTAAGACATTCATCTCCCATATGGGAGCACCTCAGTTTGGTTCTCAGCTCTGGATTCCAATTCCAGCTTCCTGCTAATGCAAGACCCTGGGAGGCAGCAGCGATTCTGCTAGTATTTGGGTCCCTGCCACCCATGGGGGAGACCTGGCTTGAGTTCCCAGCTCCTGGCTTTATGCAGGCCCAGTCCTAGCCATGGTGAGCATTTGCAGAGTGAATCACTAGATGGGACCTCTCCCTATTTCTAAAATAAATAGATAATTAAAAAAAAGAAGGAAGGAAGGCAGGAAGGAAAATCACTCGTTCGCTTTGGTCGTGATCTAAGCTGCCATTCTCCATCTTGACCCAGTCACTTGGCTGGATCTGTTGCCTTGCCTGTAAAATGGAGCTCTTCCACCCACCTCCCAGAGCGTCATGGAGATTCAGTGACATAAAGCTTGAGTCTCAGCTCTGGTCCTGAGAAGGAACCCGAGACAAGGATTTGAGACAGTTTATTTGCAAGGTGAGAGGATCACTCAAGGGGGACTGGGAGCTGAGACAGAGCAAGGAAAGCTCCCTGCCAAGGGTTACTGGAGCTTCATAGAATTTGGTACAAACCTTCCCATCTTTTTTTTTTTTTTTTTGCTGCACAAATATGCCTTTTAAAATGAAAATCTGTTGTCCATATACCTACATCTTCTACTTTTCTCACTTAACTGTTTTTCATGTCATTAAGTATGTTTTTACAACATGCTGCTTAGTGTTATTTCATACTCTGCAGCATACTTCTGTTGGCTGATCCCTTAACATTAGCATTTAGGCACATACAGTCATCGGTGAGAGTGTCGGACGTGAAGGGTGTGGTTGTGAGGCGGATTCTTGGGTGTGACTTGAGGTCCTAATTTCTTGCCCTGAGAGTCACTCCTCATCCGTATGCAATTAACACAGCTCTCCCAACCTTCTCACAACCAAGATACCTCTCCTAGCCAGAATCATACAGGGATCTTTATAAAGAAGCCTTTTGTTACCAACGGGAACTGAAGGAAATGCACCGCGTGAAACAGTATTTCACAATTTGCTCATGATTCTGGCACTAACCGAAACTCAAAGGTTTCCCACACTTCAAAATCAAATGGAAGGGATCATCCCTTTTACATGTCAGGATTTGGGAAGATGCTCACTTTATGTTACAGAGATTATCACAGATCTGAGTAAACTTGTCCCCAAACCAGGAAATCTGCAGAGCAGAAATGCAGAGACAAAATAGAGTGTGTTTCTCAAATAATGTTAATTTGAAGCTGTCAATCATGGAATCACTTGTGAAAACAACCAACTCTTGCATTTCACAAAACCGTTTTGACTATTCCAAAACCACAGTTCCCTTCAAGGCCAGGTTTATGCAAGTACAAAGCTGAAAGGCGGAAAGGCCCAGTTTCCCAGTGTCTGTGCCCCAAGGGCTTGGTGGGGGCTGGTCTCACAGCTCCATCTCTGCCACTGGCGCTGGAGCAGCTCACGCCCTGCCCTGGTGTTGGCTCATGTGGATAGTCTGAAAAGTGCTTCTGTAGTCAGTGGAGTGGTGCGCTTGGGACAATGTGCATAAGAGAAGTCATTATGAAAAAGAGACTTCGAGAACTTGGTATTATAATAGACATTTTCACATATATTAAAGTTGACCCAACTGTTTATAAATCCTCCGATGTGTATCTTGCACCTTAAACATAATACTAATTTGATAAATATTCTACTACTCATTCAATAAATATTTATTCAGTGGTTGGTGCGACATACCTCTCTCAGCCCTGGGAGATGTGAGGGTGAATAGGGCAGATGAAATCTTTCTCTCCTAGGTTCTACATTCTCCTGGTAGGGGCTGTCAATAAAATAAATAAGCCAACAGATAAATAAAAGGATTGCAACCAACAGCAATAAGTGCCAGGAAGAAAGCAAATATGGACTGGGAAAACCTGTGAGGTTCTGTAGTGGGCAGCCAAGGAGGAACTCTTTAAGAAGAGAAGGGTAAAGCTGAGATCCCTCCCAAGGAAGGGACGGGACCACCCCTGGAATTGTGGGAGGATGGATATTCCAGGGAGGGAGCGGCGTCCACGGGCTCTGAAGATGCATGATGCTGAGCATATCTGAAGAACTGAAAGGAGACAAGCTTGGGAGACTGCGGTGGTACAGGTGCAGACACAGTGAGCTGGAAGAGATGGCTGGGATCCTCTTAACCAACACCTTGCAGGCCAGACAGAAATCTGAATTTTGTTAAGCATGTGAGTTCAAGTATCATGTTAAAAGTCCAGTTCAAGATTTTAAATGGACTCAAAGTCAATGCATTGTTTTATTTTAAGAATAAAGCCATAAGGTCGCCCTTTTAATGACAAACTCAGAAAACTGATGGTGTCATGTAGCTAAATCCAAGCAGAAAAAGTGAGTTGGATCTAGGAGCATCTTGAATCTCTGTTGGCTTAGAAGGGTTCCTATATTCCCAACATCTCTTTTATATGCAGCATTTGTTCCAGAAACTTCATTTTAAATAAAGTTTGTTTATTAGTAGCTGCAATAGTACAAACT